TCTCTCTCTCTCTCTCTTTCAGGTATTTTATTATTTCACAAACTTAAACATACGAATACACCTTACTTTGATTATAAATCATTATTACATATTTTGTTATGCCAAGAGTTTTTTATTTAAGCATGTATATCTTTATTAGTTTATTACATAAAAAGAGCATTATAATTAATTTTATAGCTATAGTTTATTTGTATATGATTATTTTAAAGAACCATATTGTCGTACATTTATTTATGTTGTCGTACACGTTGCTGTTAACAAATATACTTCGTGCGTGATTAAACTGTGATAGCGATAAGAAATCCAATATTTGGTATTGTGACTTGAAAGATTTTTAATAAAACTCAATTTTATTAATACCTGCTTCCTTAAAAAATACTAATATTTTAAATAAATATCTATTTACAAATAATTTATATTTCTTTAAATGCATTAATTTCGAAATCGTATTTAAACAAAGGACTGTAAGGCTCATCTAAAAAAATTTTTAAATAGATTATTTATTTAAAAAAAGAGAAAAATAATACATTTTTAAATAATAACGAAAGAATAATCTTCAACGAAGTATTAAGCTGATAAAATTGAGACAATAATATTATTTTAAATTTGTGTTGTGTGTTGTATAAAATTTTTTATTTTTTTAACAAATATTTTTTGACAAATATTTTTAAATTATTATATTTTCATGTATTTCTTATTGTTAGTGATCAATTAGGATTGGCCATTTGAGTTTCTCCAATAAAGATGTACCAAGATATACATGTCGCCATCTATGACAATATCTAGTAACTTACTCTAAGAAGATATAAAAACTTTTGTAAATATTTATATTTTTACTTTTTTCCATTTTGTATATAAGTATAAATTATTTTATAATATTTTTTATATAATATTCTTGGTTAATAATTTTATTATATTATACGCATAATTATTTTTTGCTCGGAAGGTAATGAAGATAACGCATGAGTGTATGATTTCTTCTACGCAGCGAATGGTAGAAAGGATTACTGCTCCAGCCTTTCTTTGATCCAAGAAATCTTTTTCATCATCAGTTAATTTTTATACTTTAAGTTTTTTTTACAGCTATACAAATTATACGTTACAAAATCAATTTTTTATATTGAAGAGAAAAATGTTTTTTAGAATAATTTTACTTTTTTAATATTTAAATCGTGTTTTTTATATATGTTTAACTTTATATCAACTAATGTTATTACATCGACTGTTGTTAATATCATATAAACTGTTCAAAATGTGTGTTATTTACTTCTTGTAATAGCTGAAATATTTTATAAAACTTATATTTTTGCAATGGAAAAATACATAATTTTATAAATTTGATATAATCTCTTTATATAAAATATATATATATATATAT